GGATGGGGAGAAAGGAGACTGACATAGTGAAACCCCTGCCCTGGTTTTTGGTTACTTCCCCAGTGGGTGATTAATCAAGGAGGTGTGAAAAATCATCTCTGCACCTTGAAATCCTGTGATTGGGCAAACTATTTATGAAGTCCTCCACAAACCAGTGCAAAAAGATGTTGGTTCTACACGAGGTGGGTTTGTTTGCTTGTTTGTTTTTTTAAGTCTTGCTTTGTCAAGAGAAATTTGAAAAATGCTGAAAGTCTGATCTATATCTTCCTTGTCTTCCTATTCCCTACGCATCTACTGTATGAAGACCATTTGTGACACTAGGTGTCCTTGTTCTCCACCTTCTCTGGAGTTCCCCACAGCTCTCCCTCTCCTGTTCTGGGCAGTTCAGCTCCTCCCCACACCTGCATTTGCAGAGCAAAAGCCCTATCGTTACCAATGTTCAAGCATGCCTGTGAGGGCTCACCTCCCCCCACAAGAGGCTTATCAGTGTAACTTTTCCAGTCACTCCAAGGTGAGTTCTGTGATGGAGGTTTGTTCACTGCTACATCCTCAGTGCCTACCCTATTCCAGGCCCATTATAAGTGTGTGATAAATATTTATTGAATGAATATATTACTGTATGAATGAATGAACAGCACATTGTTATTCCCAGATATTAGCTCTACAGATATTGTGTTCTTATTCTTGTCATAGTTCCTGTGGTGTTTTTATCCCCATTAAAAATCAGCAGCTTCCTCACTGGCCAATCCATGGGTCCAGTTCTGAGCACCTCGCAGTGTCCTCTGTCAGCACAGTGAAGTCTCTCAAAGGAGGTGTGTTTTGAGCTGGATGGGCGAGCTTATGCTGCAGGAATAAACAATCCTTGAACTTCGGTGCTTAAAACAATAAGGTTATGATTTCCTCAACCTACATGTCCAAGAAGGGTTGGCTGGGGACTCTGCTCTACACTGTCCTCACTCTAGGGCCCAGGCTGAGGCAGTAGCCACCATGCGCAGATTGCTCATGCAGAGGAAAAGAGAGTATGTGGTGATTAACAATGGGCTCTTAAAGCTCCTACCGGAAGTAACACATCCCTTTGGCTCGTGTTTCATTAGTCAAAGCAAGTCACATAGCTGTACCCAGTTTCAAGGGAGGGAAGGCTCTGATTGACTGTGTCATTGCCAAAATGTTTACTGTCTCTTCCTGTGGAAGGATTATAATTCTCTCCCCACTGACACCGGGCTGTCATGGGATTTGTTTTGGCTACTGATTTCTGAGTAGAAATGTGCTGTGAAGGGTTGCTCCTTCAGCCTGAATCAATCCTGGAATGATGGATGGAACAGAGCCAGGGCTGACTCACAGTGAGAGCAGAAGATAAGCGAGAAACAAATCTCTGTAGTATATTTTGTGGATGGTTTGTTATTGTGGCATAACTTAGCTTAAACGGATTGATTCAGTGGAGAAGTGTAATTTTACCAATTACAAGGGAAGAAGTGGGAATAGTTGATGAACAGCACTAATGACAACCACCCAGAGCCATTCAAGTTGGACACTGGGGATGAACCAGCTTGCCAGGCTGCAGGGAAGGGGTTTCAGGCAGAAGGGAACATCTACAAGGTTTAGAACAGAGAGGGAAGCGGTGAGTGGGTAGGATGGGACTGCAGAGTTCTTCTGGGGTTGGATGTGTGGTGGGAGGTGAGACTGGTAAGGACAGAATGCCATTTTATTCCCCCAAGACTGACTGTTTGCCCTGGTCTTCATCAGACCCGATCTGAGGTCATCCTTCGGGGCGACTTCTGTGAGTCCTGGAAGCCATTTGACTTAAGGGAGATCTTACCCTTCTCTGTCTGTCATGTTTCCCTCTGTAAAGCCAACATAATACTATTCACTTTGCAATGTTGCTATGAATATTCAGTGACTTAACTAGTAGTGGAAGAAACCTGGGCTCTGGAATCAGACAGACTCCTGTTTGAAACCCAGCTCTGCCAATTACTGAAAACCTCAGGAATTAAACAGACAAAAAAAAAAAAAAATTGTGAGCCTCTGATTCCGTCTGGGTGAAATAGAGATGGTAATTAGTGCTTCCTGGGGTCTTTGTGAGGATTATAAGAAATAGTGAAACTATGTGATACACAGTATGAGTTCCAGTACTCATTAACCCAACCATGGGAATCATAGAAAGGTTGGATCTGACTTATCTTTCTTTCTTTGTAGACTTGCTACCAACCAGGTGGCTCTGATATATTTAAGGCAAGAGAATTGGGCATGATGAAGCGTCACGAACTTTTAACAGCGCAACTAAGGAAAATCTGAGGTATCTTGGTGTCTATTCACATGGTGCCCAGGATCTAACAGGACCGAATCCCAGTTATTCACCTTGCATTCCAATTCCATTGAGTTCATAGGCTCAGACTTGTTTCTTCGTCTGCAGCAATGTTCCAGAAGAAATGTGCTTGCGATCAGGCAGGCTGTGCTGAGTCATGTACTCACCTGACCTCTGCAGGGGCAAGTCCCAGCCCTCAGAGAAGGGCAGGGCTGTAGAGCCATGGGGCTGAGCAATTGCTTAGACTAAGGTGTGGATCAGCCTTTAGAGGCCACGTGATGCCACAGACAGTCCTCAGATCTCAGGAATTTGAACCAACAGGGTTGAAGCGAAGATCTTTTTTAGGATTGTCTCATTTAATCCTCAGCATAACCCGAGTGTCCTGCCCAATACTATTCCCATTTTGCACATGAGGAAATAGAGGATCAGAAAGGTAAAATCATTTGACCAGATATGGAATTCAGATGAAAACCTTTTTAATTGTTGCAATTATACTGCAGCGACTTACTCAAGTCACACTTCCCTGTTAGTTAATCTTCAGGTCAGCACCGCCTCACCGGTCTCCTGGTTCCCAGAAAAAAGAATCCGGAGTTTATGACTGTATTTATAATTTATAAATCAGATGTCATCAATCTGTTGAACGTTCACACTGTGATCTCTTTTGTCACAACCAAGCTTAAAACGTCATCGCCTCAGAGAGATGATCAGTTCTATATTTTTAATATAGTTTATGGATTGTTTAAAAACATAAATCATTCCCTGTTGATTTTGGTGAGAAGTGAGGTTCTAAATACACTTTAGTTTCCAAATTGCTCATCTGCTGTTCCAGCACGACTTGTTCTATAAAATCTTTGTTTGTTTGTTTGTTTTGGTAATTGGTGAGGTGTTAAATTATTTCAGTCTGAGCTTTGTATCTGGGCTGTCAGTTCTGTCCCATTGATTTTCTCTTCTGGGTCCTGACCAGGTTGTAGAAACAGACAGATCTTGGTCTGTATCTTAGACCTCACATGTCTTAGCTGTGACATCCTTTGTTTATTTATTCTACATATATTCACTGCAGCAAATTCTGTGCCAGGTCTTATAAGAGGGCGTATCCCCAGAGACCCAGAAATGCAGAAGATGTGGTCCTTGTCTTCAAGACGTCATGATCTGATGGGGACAAGTCACAGGGACAGAAACGTGAACACAAATACCAACAGTAATAGGGAGGCGCTTTATGGGCATTATCTCGCTTAATCCTCATCGCTGCCCCTTGAGCTCCCATTTCCTAGATAAGGAAACTGAGGCTCAGAGCAGTTATATAATTTGCTCACAGGCCCACAGTTAATGAGTAGTAAACCAGGGTGATTTCAAGGCTCTGAGATTAGCCCTTCCGCTCGACCAGGGAGAAAGTTTACGGAGGAGGAGCCACTTGGCAAAGAGGAGGAAAGGAAAGATACTGTCCAAGTCGCATGGCAAGTTAGTTTCTAGGTAAAGACTCATTTCTCTGCCACCCAGATATGGGAAACTTGGGCCCTGCCGTTTCTGCCATCCTCAGGTCCTCCCCCTCCCTACCCAGGCCAGGGTGGCAGAAGAGTCAGGACAGGAGCAGGCACCCTGCTGAACTGTCTTCCTGGATCAGGCAGAGGAGACTCTGGGTCACAGCACAGAGGTGAGGTGTAAGTCTACAGGAAGTGACAGCTGACATGCCAGGGGCAGGACAGCCCCAAAATGATGGCTTCAGCAGATCACAGAGACCTCAGCCGCCCACATGGAGAGGGAGGGTGGGGACAGGGACAGGGGACTTGACTAGACACTGAAAGACCCAGATAGGCTCATTTCACCATCTATCAGTGTTACTAAGACATTCGTTTTGCAACTTGGCAACCTCTTCCATCAAGGGCTAGCTCTCCCAAGAAAGCCAAAAAGGCTTGCAAACAACCTCTTTCTGCCCTGGCCATGCACCTCCTCCTAAGGCCTAAATTACAGAAATAGCCACTAACATCAATGAGGCGGAGAGGAAGAGGGGGAAAAAATAGACAATATCTCAACATAGACGTTTGTACGGATTTCAGCTGAAGCCATTTATTCTTGGGATTGGGTCTCAACTCTGCTGTTTCCCAGCTGTGAGAACTTGGGTGAGGTACTCCAGCCCTCTGAGCCTCAGTGGCTACATCTGTGAACTGGGAATAATTCATACAACCCCTCTGCCCCAGACCCGCAGAGTGCCTGGCACAGGGTAGTTGCTTACTGAGCACACGTTGCCTGAGTTCATACCTGTCTCTGGTTCAGGTGAAAGGAAGCTTCACCGGGCCGGGACTTTGATTTGTACTGTTCACTGCTATTTCCCAGCACCCAAGCTAGAGCTTGGCACAGAGTAGGTGCTGGAGAAATTTTTGTTGAATGATTGTAGAATAAATACCCTAGAGTTTTCCCTGGCCCAACAGACTCCCCCTTCCTACTAAAGAGAGGGACACAAGTCGAAAGGCAGTAGAGAACAGGAGTCAAGAGCAAGCTCCCTGGACGTGGGAGACCCGGGCTCAGACCCTCTCTTTGCCGAGTTCTTGCTGTGTGACCTTGAGCCAGTGACTTCATATTTGTAAACCTTTATTTCTCCATCTCCATCTCATAGAGTTGTTGTGGGAATTAGATGAGATGACCCACTACTCAGCCTCCCCTCCCTCCTTCCCCGTCCTGGCAGGACTGCTGAGACCCCTTCATGGTAGCCAGCCTGGGCGTGCTGGCCGGCTACCGTCAGGTCTTCCGCCAGGCCCTGCTGTGGGTCTCACCCTTCCATGCGGTGAGGTGCAGCAGCAGCCCCCTGGGTGTGCATGTCCTGGTCACCTTTGGCACCAGCTTCGACTGTGCCAGCCAGGTGAGCCTGGGCCAGCAGCCAGTTGCCTCATTCACAGGCCTGACACTTCCTGGAAAAGAAAGGCCAATTGCCAGGGGTCCTGGAGTGGGGGCTGCGGCACCTAGAATGGTGGCTGACACACATGGTGCTCATTTGTTTTGGGAAGAATAAATGAATGAGCTCTTGGTGGTTCATCTACCCCAGGTGGAGCTGGAGCAGGTGCTGAGCCTGGGTGTGGCCCCCTTGCACACCATCTACGCCAACCCCTCAAGCCCATCTCCCACATCCAGTATGCCACCCACCAAGGGGTGCAGCTCCTGGTCTTTGACAGTGAAGGGGAGCTAATCAAGGTCCCAGAACCCGGGACCAGGTGAGACCAGCAGGGGCTGCAGATCAGTGGAGACAGATGGAGCAAGGGGCAGCAAGCCTAGGGCTCCGGCAGATGGAGTTAGGCTGCAGGAGCCAGACGAAGGGGGTCCCGTGCTGTGACCGGGACAGGCACAAGCAGCAAAGCACAGGGATCTGGGTCAGTGGCCCGAGGCCTCCCTGGTGCACACTGGTGCCAAAGAGACACTGCTTATATCTGCATGTAGACATATGCAGGGCAGAGTCTGCCATTAAGAGGTCTGACATCAGGTGACCTCATGGAAAAAGCATTCACATTGGAGTCAGGGAGACCAAGGCTCCCATTTCCGGTTGATGGTCACATACTGTGTGGTCCTGGGAAAGTTAGTTAACATCTCTGATCCTGTAACATAGAGGTCAGTAGAAGGTATATTTCTAATTGTATCTTTTTCCTGCTTTTTCTTGCCTGGGCAGAAGTCTGTAATTAGTGGGTGTGTTTACTCCTTGGAATTCCGTCGCTGGACAGTCCAGAGGAACTAGGCAGGGGTGGGTGGGAAGCTGGAGGGAGATTGACTAGGGGGCAGTAAAATATCCAGGCCTCAGGCATCCTATGCACCCCTCTCCCAGGCTGGTCTCCGGCTGCGGATCCCGGGCAGCAGAAGCATCTTCCCCTCTGAGGACCAAGTCTGGGGCCAGCCTGGAGGTGTGTGAACATCTGCTCAAGTCTGCCAGAGACCCGGGCTGCCAGTGGTGGGAACCAGGTGAGCACACTAGCTTTCCCTGCCTAGGAGGCAGAAGTCAGGTCTCCGCTACCTGTCTCCAGCCTTTGGCTCACCGGGGTGCCCTCCTGTCGGCCGTGGCCCCTCTGGACCTCGTGATGCTCTGTCTGTCTCAGCGAAGAAGCTGGATGTTATTTGGGACTAGGGTGCAGCATTCAAGGCCCCTGGCCTTGGGAGCAAAATTTAAGGGGATACTAAAAACTTAGCACTCTAGATAAATAACATTTTAATATAATATTTGAAAAAAATCAAGATTAGTGCCAAGAAGATCAGGATAAGGAAAATATCAACATTTTAAGTAAAGACAAGATGGGCATTTTTGATTTTTCCTTTTGCTTCAGAGTTCAATCACTGTTACCAATCTTGTCTTTATTTATTTAAATACTTCTTTAAATGTCTATTTGTCATGGATGTTTTCGCATCAATTGTACTCTTTATTGCATTAATGTTCTTTATCTTGATTACTTCGTGTTGTGGTGCCCCCTGAACTCTTGTTCTGAGGAGACTGTCTCCCTGGTCTCACCCAACCTGGCCCTGACCGGCTCCTCAGCCCAGCCTCCTCGTGAGCCCTGGGATTGGGGGTTCTGAGCACATGCCTTCCAAGGGGGAAGAGAAGGGGAGCCCCTGCAACGAGACCTTGGGAGGGGACAGCTAGGAGAGGAGGCCGCCGCACAGCGCCGTGAGAGCCCCAACTCAAGGATGCTGTGTTGGTGTCTCTCTTCCTCTGGTCCTAGCGTTTTCGTGCATGTTTCTCCACCTGTTCATCTTCCATGTGGGCTCGGCCTGCTAGACACCCCACAACTTCACAGGCTGCGGCGCGTGTTTGAGGTGGGTTGTGGGGTCGGGCATGACATGAGCCTCCTGGACATCGGAGGGGGCTTCCCTGGAGTGGAGGGCTCCGAGCCTAAGTTTGAGGAGGTAAGAGAGGAGCATCGGAGGGAGCCCAGCTGTCCCAGCCTGGGTCTGGGGGACAGGCTATGTGGCCTGTGAGGAAAGAAATTGATAAATTAGCATATCCTTAAGGAGCAACCGTGATGGAATTACGTCACAGAAAGGCTGTTTACACCCAGTTTTGACTCATGCAGCAGGTGCCCAGGGAACCTGGTTTAAGGTAAGGGCAGAGTACCTGAGACCTGTTATCTGGGAACAAATCCCAGCCCTGCCACAATCTCCTGTGTGACTTCTGACAAGACTCAGTTTTCTCAACTGTAAAGTAGAGCTCATTGTACCTACTCAGAGTGCAGTTATGAGGATTAAATAGTTTAATACACGTAGAGAGCTTAGAACAACGCCCAAGCTGTATCTCATGGTATGTTAGTTATGTTACTATCATTATTATTATTATTAAGAGGAGGAGAAAACCTCTGATGGGGGAGCAGAGGAACAGTGCGAGCTCAGAGGACGGGCCCCAACCCTGCATGGGTCTAGGGAAGACTCCTGGAGCAGGGAACACTTTACCCAGCGCTGGGCAGGGGCTCAGAGCTCTCCCAAGGGTGCTGGGCTTTGGTGCTGAGGGTCAGTGGTGCAACCTGGCTGAGCACACCTCAGTCCTGCCCTCTCCCTGCTGGCAGGAGGTCACTGGGAGCTGGTGTACTGTCTCAACAAGGGCCACTTTTGTGCCTTCCGTGTCTTCCTCAGGGAGTCTGAACCCAAGATGCCCATTGTGCTGAAGGTAAGGAGATATTTGTGTGGCTCTGTCACCACCCAGACCCCGAGGCCACCAGGTCCAGCCCCCTAGCCAGGGAAGCAGGGCTCCCTGCTACCAGGAGGAGAGATAAAGGATCTCAGATTTGTGATGGCTTGGCAGATTGCCACACCACATGCATGTACCAGGATGTGCACATGTGCCTATGTGGGTCAGCACGGGCACTTCTGCATGCATGCGTTTCTTAATTTCCCCTGTGCCGGAAGAAGGTGGGCTTCTGGTCCACAGGTCTGTGGAGGTGTGCTTGTGCATCTGTTTGGCTGTGGGTGTGTTTCCATGTGCATCCCACTACATCACTGTGTGTTTCCAGAATCCTTGAATATTAGAGATGCAGGAGACTTAGGAGGTAGAGATTCTCAAACTGTGCTTCTCATGAGAATCATCTGGGAAGCTTTAAGATACCGCAATGTCCAGGCCATGCCCCAGATCATGGATATCAGAATTTCTCGTGGGTTAGGACCCTGGCACCCTGGCACCGTCCTTCATTAAAACTCCTCAGGCATTTCCAGTGCGGTCAAGTTGGAGGTCAAGTATTTTGAGTGGTTGTTGAATAAAATCTTCCCACTTTATAGATGGGAAAACCGAGGTCCCACCTGTGTATGCACTTGTGAATTGATAGGGCTGGGATGTGTCTCTAGAACACAAGCTCCATGAGGGCAGGGTTGAGAACAGTGCCTGGTGCATAGGGACCACTTAGGAATCGGTCAGTGTGGGTGAATAACAGATACCATGCTGGTATCTTGTGCCCTGGGAGCGTGCCCTGCCATTCCTTCCCTGATTCCCCACCCCTGTGTCCCTGCAGGAGCTCTGCCCTGAGCCACCCCTCTTCTCCTGCACCCTCTACAGCTCCATATGTGGTGTCTCTGGTGGGCTCTTCTTGGAGGAGATGCAGCTGCCCGAGCAGGACGTGGGTGACTGGCTGGTCTTCCCTCCTTGGGTGCCTACACGTCCACCATGATCTCTGCCTTCAGTGGCTTCCCTCCTTCCTTCATCTACTATGCCAAGGAACCTGAGTTCAAGTGTCTGGGGGAGGGGGAGGAGGAGGGGGCTGGGTAGTGAGGGCCTCTCACCAGGATCTGAACTTGGCAAGGGGAGCTGGTAGCTGAGCTCTGGGGTCCCGGGCCCAGGAAATACCCTACTCCACACACTGGCCCCAGCAAAGCCCAAAATGGCTGGCTGATCTTTGACACTGGCCTCTGCCTGTTACAGCCTCTTCCCAGGTAAGTCCAAGGTAGCCCACCTGGGCGGCTCTGACAGCTCTGACACATAGACAGCTTTATGGGCAGAAACAGGCAGCCCTGTGGCCCCAGCTGACCCTCAGCCCCATGGCCAAGGTTCCACTCTGCTCTGACCATTTGTGGCTGCTCCCTGGTTCCCTCCTCAGATGTCCCCTCCTCACAGCCCCAGTTCCCTCTTGGCCCAACCTAGAGTTTGCCTAGTGGAGGGGGCTCTGGAACACCTCTTTACTGGCACATCCCTGCCACAGGAGCCTCCTGGAGACAGCACTGCGGGCTGGGATGTGGCTGATGGAGGAGCTCCAGACACTGCAGTGCACCCACGTGGGGATGCTTGAGGGCAGGGTTTAGGGAGGAGAGGGGAGGAGTAATAAAGGAGGAAGCGGACATCTGGGTGCCTCTGAAATGATGAGACAAATTTTAAGGTTCAAAACTGTCTTCTCTCTAAATGGGCCTGAAGCCTACGTTAGCTCTTCTGGGCAGGGACCCCACCCTCCCTGCTCCTTACCCACTAGACCCTGGAGTTGGGCTGGGCATGTTATTACAAGAGCGCCCCTTGGAGGCCCTACTCTGGATTGTGAGGCAACCTGTATTGACCAGAACCTTGAGAAGCCTTGGTTTTTCCTTTCATCCAGTTAGTGACCCCTGTGTTGTTCCAGAAAGGTTTGCGTGAACCCCAAGTGCCCACTCTAGTGGAGAGAGCACTGGCTTTGGAGTCAGACAGGCCTGGAGGGAATCCAAGCTCCACCACATGCTGGCAGTGTGGTCAGAGCCTCTGTTTCCCTATCTGTGAAATGAGGATGATATTAGCATACCCCTCACAGGGTTGACAAGATTAACTCAAATAATGCAAATCCTCATTCAAGGTCAGTTCAAGTCCACCTGTCTCTGGCTAGCTCTGATCTGGGGCCTGGCCCGTTCAGCGAGCACCACGGTCTGGATGTCCTCAGGGAGCATGCACAGCATCTGGCCACACAGCTCATGGGCATTTGGGGGCCTCAGACCTGGCTTTGGCTTAAGAAACATCCAGGTTGGGAGGCTGGATGGACAAGATGTGGATATAGCCAACTCTGAAAAACAGGGCAGTTGCTGCTTGCATGCCCCCCAGGCACACTAAAACTTTGAAAACAATATTTGGAGAGTTCTGAGCTCAAAAAGAGAATGTATCCTATAGGAAAGGATGTTGACAGAGGTAGGGGTTGGGACACATCAGTATCACCAGTCACATTCCTGCAGCGAGGGAAGGGGGAGTGGGCCCCAGAGGCCAAAGCCACCCACCTCCTGTGTCCTGTGTCCTTTTTAAGCTTTGCCTGGTAAGACATTCTCTGATCTCCAGCATCTGATCCTTTCTGTCCATCAGAGTCAGCCTCACCAATCTTGCTGCTGCCTCCTCAGCCCAGCCAAGACCAGAGGAATCTTCCAGTATCCTTGGGCTAAAGATATTTCTCCTCCGAACATCTGAGGAGAAGGGAAGGGCATCAGTAGATGCCATCCAAGGAAGCCAGAGAACTCAGACAGCCTTTAAATCATGTTGTTCCTTTGCCTCCTCCCAGAGCCTGAAAATTGGAAGTGGAAATGTTTACCCTTAACTCCTCAGTGGTGTCTGGAACTATAGGTACGAGTGGGCTTTAGGGAAAAAATAAAGTTCTGTTTCGATGCAAGAGATGTTGGTGTTTTGTGTTTTTCCCTCTAGGTGTTGTCCTATGTGACTGTGGATATTCATCCATCCACCCATCTATCTATCCATCCATCTATCCAGCTGTCCATCCACCCATACAGCTATCCTTCTACCCATCCATCCATCCACCCACCCATCCATCCATCTATCTACCCATCCATAAAATAAAATGTGAGGGCCTAGTCTGTGCCTGGCACTGTTCTAGGCACAAGTGACACATGATGAACAAGATGAGCAAGAATCCACATAAGTGGAGCTTATCTTCCACTTAGAATAAGAGGATAGACAAATACATAAATCAATGATAAAATGAAGTAGAAGCAATACGTGCAGGGAAGAAAAATGAAACAAGCCAGGGGAGAGTGAATAATAGAGGCCTGTGCCACTGTAGGTTGAGGGCCCTGGGAAGGCCTCTCTGACGACGTAGCAGGGAAGCAGAGCCCTGAAGGGAGCATGTGATTACCTGGGTCAGAGAGTTCCAGGCACCGGAAACCGCAAGTTCAAGGGCAGGGATGGAGGGTGTTCCCCCAAAAGCAGGAAGCCCCATGTGGGTGAGCAGCGTGGGCAAGGGGAGGTGTTGGGAGATGAGGCAGGAGGAGGGTGGGGAGCTGATCTTGTCAAGCCTCACAGTAAGTCAAGGCTTTGATTATGTTGGGTTGAGGGTAGGCCCTGGCAGTTCTGGCAGGTGATTGCAGTGAGAGGCTGCAGGGAGAACTTGAGGGGCTTCTGCCAGTTTTGGGAAATGGTGGTCACGGTGCAGGAGGTGAGGTGCCAGATTCAGCAAAGGCTGCAAAGATCAAGTGGAGAGAATTTTCTTAGAGGTCAGATGTGAGGTAAGAGATAAAGAGGAGACAAGGACAACTCCAGGGTTTGGGACTGGAGCTGCCAGTACACAAACAGGGACGCTGAGGAGGAGAAGCAGGTTAGGAAGGGTTAAAATGGTAGGCTCGATTTTGAGCAAGACAAGTTTGAGACGCCTAGTCTACCTCCAAATGGAGTCAGATACAAGCATCGGGTTTCAGGGCAGAGGTCAGGATGGCAGCTGTGAACGTGGATGGGGTGTGGTTCACACTAGATGGACTTTACATCCCTGGGGCCACCCCGCCCAGCCAGGAAGTGAGTGAACACAGAGAGGACACAAGTCACTGAAACCAAGAGAAGAAACATTGCAGGAAGGAGGGAACCCTCAGCTGTAACAAATACTGCCCAGAGGTGGGTGAGGTGAGAGCTGAGAATGGCTTAGTGAAACGAATGTCATTGGTGATCTTAACCAGTGGGTTCCAACGCTAAGGAAGGTTGGTGGAAGTGGGGTCTGGAGAGGATGATGGAGACAGGTGGAGAGGGTGGGGCATGGGCACTTCTTCTGGGGAGTTAGTTGTGCTGTAAGAAGAGCAGGAAATGGAAGGACAGCTGGAAGAGGCACCTGTAGAGTCAAGGAGGGTTTCTTTCTTCTTTCTTTCTCTCTCTCTTTCTCTTTCTTTTTTATTGAAGTATAATCAATTACAATGTGTCAATCTCTGGTGTATAGCACAATGTCCCAGTCATGCATATTCACATATATGTTCTTTTTCATATTTTTTTCCATTAAAGGTTATTACAAGATATTGAACATAGTTCCCTGTGTTAAATAAAAGAAACTTTAAAAAAAACTATTTTTATATATAGTGGCTAACATTTGTAAATCTCAAACTCCCAAATTTATCCCCTTCCACCTCCCTTTCCCCGGTAACTCTCAGACTTGTTTACTAAGTCTGAGAGTCTGTTTCTGTTTCGTACATGAGTTCATAGTGTTTGTTTGTTTGTTTATTTATTTATTTATTTATTTTAGATTCCACATATGAGTGATACCATGTGGTATTTTTCTTTCTCTTTCTGACTTACTTCACTTAGAATGACATTCTCCAGGTCCATCCATGTTGCTGCAAAAGGCATTATTTTATTCTTTTTTATGGCAGAGTAGTATTCTATTGTGTAAATATATCACAACTTCTTTATCCAGTCATCTCTTGATGGACATTTAGGTTGCTTCCATGTCTTGGCTATTGTATATAGTGCTGCTATGAACATTGGGGTGCATGTATCTTTTCGCATTAGAGTTTCCCCCAAATATACACCCAGAAGTGAGATTGCTGGATCATATACTAAGTCTATTTTTAGTTTTTTGAGGACTCTCCGTACTGTTTTCCATAATGGCTGCATCAAACTACATTCCTACCAGCAGTGTAGGAGGGTTCCCTTTTTCCCACATCCTCTCCAGCATTTATAATTCGTGGACTTTTGAATGATGGCCATTCTGACTGGTATGAGGTGATACCTCATTGTAGTTTTGATTTGCATTTCTCTGATAATTAGCGATATTGAGCATTTTTTCATACGTCTATTGGCCATTCGTATATCTTCACTAGAGAAATGCTCGTTTAGGTCTGCCCATTTTTGGATTGGGTCTTTTTTTGTTGTTGTTATTAAGTTGTATGAGCTGTTTATATATTCTGGAAATTAAGCCCTTGCCAGTCTCATCATTTGCAAATATTTTCCCCCATTCCTTAGATTGTCGTTTTGTTTTATTTATGGTTTCCTTTGCTGTGCAAAAGCTTATGAGTTTAAGGAGGGTTTCTTTTAAAATGAGAGATATTACGGCTTGTCTGCAGGCTTACAGGGTGGGGGAGACTGATAGAAGAAAGATAATTAAGGTACAGAAGAGAGGCGAGAATATCAGAACCAAATCCTTGGGTGGATGGGAGGGGCCAGCGTCCTGTGCGCCGTGGAGGGTGAGTCCGGATGGGAGCTCCGGCAGTACAGGGGACACGAAGGAAGGCAGAGCACGCCGAGGTCGGGGGCGCAGGTCGCCGAAAGAGGGCGGAGCTCTCTGCTGATCGTTTCTCTTTTCTCGGTGAAATTAAGGGGAAAGTCGCAGTAAGCCTGGGAGTGAAACAGGGTGGGATTGCCAGCACAGGTGCCCACTGAAGTTTTGTGGGGGTTCATTTAGAGTGAAGCCTGTCGTCATCCGGTGTGTTTTGTCTTCACCTACGTTCAGCCGTGGCGGGTGCAGGTGCTGAATGGATGGGGGTGGGTGGGGAGGAGGAGAGTCAAGGGAGGTGGAGACGCTAGGAGAATGAGGTGCTGGTGGGGGTCTCTGCAGGTCC